CAGGTCGTACCGCTCCACCGAGCTCGAAGGTGCGCCGCCCTCCATGCCGCCCACCACGTAGAGCTTGCCATCAAGCACCGCCGTACCAAGACGCGTGCGTGCCGTCGGCATCGGCGCCACAGCCTCCTCCTCCCACTCATTCGTTGACGCGTCGTACCGCTCCATCGAGCTGATGAGGCGTCCAGCGTTGTCTTCGCCGCCGATCACGAGCAGGCGCGCCCTCTCGCGCTTCTTCAGCGTCTCCTTCCAGCCGCGGCGCCACGCGCGGCACGTCCCCTTGGCGGCGTGCTCCGTGGTCGGCAGCTGGGCGAGGATGTGCGGGGCGAGGTCCGGCGAGAGGAGGACCTCCGAGAGGATCCACTCGGGCTGCTCCACGAGCCGTGCGGCGTGCTCCTCCGCCACGCGCAGCGCGGCGGCGCTCCAGAGAGGCGCCTGCTCCTCGATGAAGGCAAGGAGTTGCTCTGGCGAAGCTCTCGCGAGGCGGGCGCCGACGCGGTGGGAGGCCATATACACAAACGTTTTAGAGAGGGCGGGGAAAAAGAAAGCTCCGAGCCGAGAAGAGAGAAAAAGACTCACTCAACTTTTCTCGAAGGCCTCCGCGCCGGCCCAGAGCTACCTTTTGGTAGTTAGTGTTGGAACGTGGCAGCGGCGGGCGATGGTGCACCGATTAGCCCGTCCGTAGCGGGGTTTAACCAGCCCGCGTGCAGCAACCGCGCCGGCAAATTGCGGGGCACTCCGCGCAGCGCCCGCGAGAAGACTGCCTTGTCGAGGCCTTGCGCGCCGTAAAAGTCGGTACCGCCGAGGGTGGCGTTGGTGAAGTCGGCGGACTGCAGCTCTGCACCCCTGACACTTGAGCACTTGAGCACTGGATAGGGCCGATTCCGCGTGGTACGGGACCCCTCGATCGTCTCGCCCTCCCTCACTGGTATGTTCATTGGGGGGGGTCATAACAAACACGGTACAGGATCGAGGTGCACGCTGCCGAAGCAGTGTCGTCCCCCCTCTCCCCGACGGCGATGGCGGTGTGACCGATCGAGCTACAAGAGGAGCTTGGTCAGCAGGATCTGGGATAGTCTGGCGCACTACCTCACTGGGCCTGAGACCGCCGAGACAGCATCCCATCACCCCTCCGGGTTTGCGTGGGGTCGAACCACTCCGGGATGGGCAAGCCCATTGTCTTATTTCAGTCCCCCTCGCACCTGCGAGAGTAGGCAGGGGTTGCATGGTCTATCTCAAGCGGCGCCTCGGCCAGGGGGAGGGGGGGGGGGGGGGGGCCCCGGGGGGGGGGGGGGTCAAAAAAAGGCCAAGGGGGAGGGGGGGGGGGCAAAAAAGGGCCCCCCCCAAATTAAAGGGGGGGGTAAAAACTTTTTAAACGCCCCCCCCCCCACTGTTTTTTTTAAATTTCAAAAATCCCTTTTGGCAAAAAGGGAGGGGGCTCTGACGGAGTGCGTGGCGGGAGAGGGCAGGGAGTGGGCGCGGGGGAGGGGGGGGGGGGGGCTCAGCCGTGCAAAAAGCATCAATTAATAATAGTAAGGAAGACATGTTGCCCGGCCGTTCAAGAAGTCCGTCTCGATTTTCGTTTTTTCCCCACAGACCACTCGGGCAACTTTTACGAAAGGCAAAGTTTTACTTGACCACTCGGGCAGATTCGATTGCATTTTACCACTCGGGCAAACTCGATGAAACGGGCGGACGGAAACGCGTTTGCGACGGCTCGCCGGAGAGCATGCATGGAGCGGCCGGTGCGCCGCCGCAGCTCACCGATGGAGCCTGCGTCGCGGCTCAATCCACTGACGTAGCAGCACTGCGACACACTCTCCAAGCACGGCCTCTGGCGTTGCGATTGCACAGAGAGCGAGCAATAGGCGCCAAAAGCACAGATCTGTGTGCAGTGGATTTCCATGTAGGTCGCGCCCAGCGAGCGGACAACCGCGGGTCTCGGATGCTCTCCCGGACGCGAGCCCATCGTGCGAGTGGCGGACCCGGAGGCGGCCGGCCCAGCTCACCCCCAGAGAGGCCATGGCCAGGGTCAGGCATAAAAGGGGGGGTGTTTTTCCGTCCGTCCAAGGTCACCTCTGACACAGTTATTGTTATGGTGTTATGGCTCTCGGGGCATAGCAGCCCATAACATGTTATGGGTGTTATGGGTGTTATGGGCCCTATGAGAGGGCCGTCCCGGATCCACGGTGTTATGGCCCGAGAGGCCACACCGAACTGCTCGCCGCTGCAATTTTCGCTTCGCGCGCTGCCGCGCGCGGGGTTCGGCATCGATCGCCAAATATTTTCTCGTTTGCCCTGAAGTTCAATTCAATAACATCAACCTGCCTCCTGACTGAGGCTGAGCGATGGCTTCAGATTTCTCAATCAAGACCCCCCCCCCCCCCTTCACGCAATTGCTTCCCGTTTCTAACTCGTACTCTCTGCAGCTCTGCACGCTTCCCTCCGTTTTAAACATGTACATGTACCTTGGTATGTCTTTCCCGCAATTTATCTCCCGTCCTTTTTCTCTGAGCCCTGGCCTCGATCGACACACGACACCCTCGACACCGGGCCTCGACACCTCGACACCAGGGCTCAGCTTTTTCTTTCCTTTTTCACTGCATGTGCATGTGCATGTCTCGAGGTTTCTAACAAGTGGAAGCTGGCTGCTCCCGCTTTTTAGTAGTTAAAGCTCCGTGCGCCAGTCCCCCGTGCGAGGGAGTTTGTTGTACGTACTCTTAGCTTACTGGGAGAAAAGGGAGAGGGGTAAAACTCTTCCTCGTCCCGCGATCGATGGATCCCGGTAGGCCATGGTCCCGGTACAAGGTCATGGTTGGCTGGTAGTAGCTACGCGGCGCGGGGCGGGCGCTCCAAAAGAAGAATTTTACCGCCACGCCGGGATGCGCGCGGCGGGGCTCCAAAAGAAAAATCCGTCGGACACATAACAGCTGTTATGAGGTTGTTATGCTGGCTGTCATAACATTAACAACCAGTGGGATGTGTTATGACATATGAGTGTTATGAGGTGTTATGGTAGGGTGGGCATAACAGCCATAACAGCGATGGAGGTGTTATGAGGTGTTATGAGGTGTTATGGGGTGTTATGAGCAGCCAGCCACATAACAGCCATAACAGATAACACCTGTTATGGCCGCTGCGCTCCCATAACCTTGCGTCTGGGGTCAACAGCTCGGCGCCGCGGGAGGTGGCCGCCTGTGTAGAGATGGAGAGATGCATCGGGTGCAGTTCACAGCTACCTCGATATCCCGTAACACAGGTGTATTTGTGTGTACCTCGAGTGGGTACAGGGCGGTCCCTACGTAGTATCGAGGTACACACAAATACATGGCTCACACACTCACACAGAAAATGTTGACTCGAGAGAGTGCGTATCCCTGTTCCTTTTTACCCATCTCACAGTAGAGAGGTGTCCGTTTTTATTTATTTATTTATTTATCCCTGTACATCCCCAGGGGTTACGGCGTAACGCGTATAGGCGAGGGGCCACCTCCTTAAGTCGTTGCGGTCGTGTGCGCCGTCAGCCGTCACCTGCCAGTGCCATGCTAGGCCGATCTCAGGGTCGCCCGCCCGTGTCACAACATGTACATGTCGTCGAGGATCACGCGCTGCCGCGCCTCGAAGTTGGCCTCCGAGATTAGCCCCTCCTCGTGGAGGCTCTTGAGCTCAACCAGCCGCTCGCGCACGCTCCGCTCCACGCGAGGCCGCTGCGCCGGCCGCGCCTCTGCCTCGCTGCCGCCCGCCTCGCCGCTCGGCCCGTCGACGTCGATCGCGTTCGCGCGGCCCTCCGCATCCTTCTCCTCGCGCGAACGCACGCCGGTGATCTCGACCTGTGACGACTCCTCCTGCGAGCTGGAAGGTGGCTGCTGCGAGTCGTCCTCGTCGAGGTCGTGCGCCGTCTCCTGGCTGCCGCCGGCCAGCTCGGCGGTCTTGTTGAGCCGCCGCCGCTGCGCCGGCGGAGCGCGCACGGCGGGCTCTTCGCTGATGCTCCAGCCGTCGCCGGTGGGCCCCTCCCTACGACTGCGCGGACGGCGATCGGACTCAAAGTCGTCGCCGCCGCCGCCGCCCGTCGCTTGGTCAAAGAGCTGCTGGGCGTTCGTCCGCCCCGGGGTGGGGCCGCTGCGGAGGTCGGAGAGGGTGGTCTGGCGCCCTCCGTGGCTGTGGAGCGGAGGCTGGGGGCGCGCCGCTGGCTGCTTCCCGCTGCTGGCCGCCGCGAGCTGCCGCGATGCGGCGCTGGAGCCGCCACCGCGGCTCGTGGCAGTGCCGCGGCTCGTGGCAGCTCGCTCATCGTACCGGGCAGCAGCGGAGGCTCGCGCAGCTGCGGCGGCGCCGGGCGCGCTGCTTGCTCCAGCGTACGAAGCGCTGCTGCCACCGAGCTTGCCGTTCTGGAAGTTGGTCCTCGCCTTGAGCCGCGGGATCGCCTTGAGCACCTCGAGAAAGTCGTGATACGTCTTGAAGCCGAGGCAGAGGTAGCCCTTTGGCGAGCCTGCAACCGAAGGGGAGGAGGGCAACGTGTGCAAAAGAGGAGTGCTGGCGCGCGCAGGGCGTGCAGCGGGGAAAGCTGCGTACCGACGTTGGAGAGTGGGTCGTACCAGCGGTTGAGCGCGTCCAGCGGCACCTCCACAACACCGCGGATCTTGAGCACGTTGCTCCGCTTGTCAAAGGTTGCGCTGCTGATGCTCGACGTCTTGAGCTTGAGAGAGACGAAGCCGACACCCGGCACCTCGCGCGCGGTGATCCAGCTGAAGACCTCCTCTCCGAAGGTGACCGTGGCCTCGCCGGATTGCCACGTCCCGACCATGATCTCCTTGCACGACTGCTTGACTGCTGCGTTGCGGCTGCGAACGCCGAGGCCGATCAGGCTGCCCGACTGGCTCGGGGACAGCAGGCTCAGGCCGCGCGCGCGAACGTCGAGGACAGCAGCCCCTCCGGTGTACATGGTAGACGCGAACGGGTTGCTGAGTGGGGCTGCTGAGCTGGCGAGCTGCTTGTACATGGCAGCTGCGAACCGGCGCGCGCCCGCATTCTTTTTCTCCGAGGCTTGGCAGAAGGTGAACGAGTGAGCCGAGAGAGAGAGAGAGAGAGAGAGATCCGTTATCCGTTAGTGCGGACGTCGCCGCGGCTCGCCTCTGCCGCGGCGGCTGCTGCGCGCACGCGGCGGCGCCGCTCTCTCGCGAGACGGCTGGCGACGCGGCTCGCCGCCGACGTACGGTGCGCTCGTCCGACGGTCCGCGGCGTGGCGTGCGCGGCGCTGAGCGCCGCTCTGCGAGCGCCTCTGCGCCTGCACTGCCTGTCTCTGTTGCTGGTGGTGGTGGTGGTGCTGCTGCTGCTGGTGCCGATGCTGCTGCTGGCGCGGCGCGGCTGTGCGACTGGGCTCGACGCGCGCGTCGCGAGCGTCTGACGCGGCGGGCGGCGTCGGGCAGGTGCGCTTCTCTCTCGGGTGGTGGTGGTGGTGCTGCTGCTGCTGCTGGTGGTGCAGGTACTGCTGCTGGTGCGGCGCGGCTCTCCGACGCGACTCGATGCGCGCGTCGCGGCTATCTGACGCGGCGGGCGGCGTCGCGGGCGGCAGCGGTGGCGGCTCGCGGGTGGAGGTGGAGGCTGGTGGCTGTGGTGGACTTTGAGTTTATTTCATGGTCGTGTACGGGGACCGGGGGGTCAACCGGGAGGCAGGGGGTTCAACCAGGCGACGGAGGACCGTGGGCCATCGCGGGGACGGGTCCGTCCGGAGGGCGAACCCGATAGATCCGGATGGTCTTCACGCCGGTGGGAGGCACCGAGGCGTCTTGGACGCTCAGCTCTACCTTAAGCTCCTGAGGGGCGCGTGGTTCTAACCACGTAGTAGGACTACAGCCCACCACAGACACCCTCCCCCACTCCTCACGTGTGTTCACACCCTCACCCTCTCCTCTCTCCTCTCTCTCTCTCTCTCTCTCCTCTCTCTCCTCTTGTCTGTGCTGTCTGCCTGACTCAGGCACTCAATCTGCCGATGCGTGATTGTGTGTGGGCTGCTCCGAGGGGGCCCTCTGTGCGATCCGACGGGTAGGGGGGCTGTGCCCGGGCGGTGTCCGGTGTGGAGTCCCCTTCTGATCCCGCCTGGGATGTTGGGTGTGAGGTTGTGGCGGCTTCGATCCCAAGGGGGGGAGCTGATCCCACTCAATAACCAACTCTCAGGGGCAGTAGGTGGGCGAGCTTCAGGCACGCTCATCTCGATCGTCAAGACGTTGCTACGCGCGGTCTTCCGCGGGGGGAGCTGCGTCGACGGGTGCGGGACCGCGGCGCAGCCAGTGCCGCGGCGAGGCCTCTGATACAAACTCTTACGGCTCTACGTCTAATAAAAAGCCGTGTGTGGCGTGACTAGACCATGGACTAGACGTAGAGTATAGAACGGGGTCAACGATGTCGGCTGGGGAGTGCTGCAACTTTCTTTCAGAACATTTCACCCGCATAGCACCGCCGGCGCGGACGTCGGTCGTCGCGAGCGCGGCGCGAGCATCGCCCTCGTGTGCGGGCACTGGGAGTCCGGCTCGCAACAGCCGGGCCCAGACCCCAGAGCGCCCGCAAGTCGGGCAGCTCGTCGACGTCCGAGTGCGTCTCGAGGACGGCGCTCGTCAGTCCGGCTCGGGTCAGCGCCTGGAGCTGCGAGAGGCAGGTGTCGCCCGCCGACCAGCGCACGTCGGAGAAGCAGAGCCGCTCATCCGCGCCCTCGGGCAGCGCGAGCAGGGTGTACCCGCCGTCGCTCGCTGGGCAGACGGCGGCGACGCCCGGCGCGGAGGTGGCGCTCGCGGCGGCGAGCAGCGCCTCGAGGGGAAGGTCCGGGCAGTCGACGCCGAGAAACGAGACCCGCGCGCAGCCGCGCGCCGCCCGAGCTCGCCGCGTCGCACAGGATATCTCCGAGGCTGGAGCTGCGGCGGAGGACGAGGAGAGGACCGGCTGCAGCCTCCAACGGTCCTCCACGCGCCCCTCCTGCAGCAGCGACGCGAACCACGACCGAGCCTCCTCGGTGGGCGGGCGTAGGTCACGAAGCACTCGAAGCCGCCGCCCTGCGACGCCGTCGCCACCGCAAAGCGCTGGAGCAGGTCGAGCGTCGCCGCACGCACAAAGTTGGCGATAATTGCCTGCACGGCGTCGTCGGAGGCGCAAAAGGGCCGCAGCTGCGCCGCGAGCCGCGTCTTACTCTTGCCAGCCTCGCACGCACTGGGCACGGGACTGTAGAAGTTAGAAGCGACAACATCGCGGTGTTTGCGCGAGACGCCGCCGCCGCGAGCGCGGCCGCTGCCGATCAGCAGCGTGTGCGGCGAACCCGGCGAACCGGGCGGCGACGACCGGAGTCAGGGTAGCTTTCAGTCTCTTACTTTGCACACGCTTTCTCCCGGGGCCCGGCACTGTCCCGCACCCCGTCAAGCACCCCGCACGCCTGCGCTGGCACCGACTCAAGGCCTTCCGCGTCCACCCTGCCTGTGACCCAGCTCTTCTCGTCTTTCACAACCCGCGAGTTTCCACACCATTCTGCTCGCATTGCCCGGCTGACCACGGCCGTCGCCTGGAGCTTGCATCCGTAACGGCCGGATGGGATGCCAATGGCGCCAAAGGCTTAGCGCATGGACGCCTTGGCGGCCTCGACCCACCCCTTCGAGAGCTGGCGCAGGATGATGCTCGCGAGGCCGGGCTCGCCGCCGTCCTACAGCAAGCCATGCGCCACGCGTCAGGCTCTGCTCTGCACTGTTCGGCGTGCGAAACCCTCAACCACCGCCGTCACGAGCTTCGAGAGGAGGCCCACGCCGTCGATGGTGGTGTCCGCTGAGGAGGTAGCGGCCGTGACGAGCTCAGCGCGGCCGGTGCGAACGAGGAGGAGGAGCCGGACGAGAGGGTCGAGGCGCGTGCGCACGACCTTCTCGGCCCGCACGTCGAGGAAGCGCCGCCCGCGCCACACAGGAATGCGCGGGTCGAGCTCTCCGTCGGGCGACGTGTTGAGGTTGGCGACGTACTGCCCCGAGCGGGAGAAGGCGATCTGCGAGACGCGCCCAGTGAAACGCGGGCCGCCGACTCGCATCTTTGCGATGACCTCGCCGGAGTTCTCACTCTCACAGCTCTTTGCAACCACCTCGAAGCTTGCAAAGTCGCCGCCCTCGCCACCGAAGAGGACCTCGGTCGCGTCTGGTGCGAGACAGAACGAGTCGCAGGATCCGCCGTCCGGCGTGAAGTTGCGAGCATCCGGATCGTCTGCGGTCGGGTCGCCGAGGGAGCGCTCCTGCAGGAGGGACCCCGCACGGCTCCAGCAGGCCACGCTCTTGCCATCGGAAGCCACGACGACGCCGCTGGACAGCACCGTGAGCGTGCCGCCCTGGCCCTTGACGCGGAAGGTGTTGTAGTTGCGTCCGTCTGGGCCTGCAACCTCAAAAAGATTGACGCCGGGCTGGCCAGACCGCATGAGCAGCGCGAGACGCGCCTCCCGATCCTCGCGCGTTGCGCTGCGCCACATTGGCAGCAGTCTCGAGCCCGCCGGAGTGGCCGTGCATGTACAGACTGGCGTTGTCGTGCGACAGCGCCACGTCGTACAGGCCCGGATCCGCCTTGACCCGGCGCAGCAGGTCGCCGTTGGAGAGCGCCACGATCTTCACGTCCGACCGGAACGCGACAGCGGCGCGCGACTGGTCGTTGGAGATGTCGAGCGCCTCGGCCCGCCCGCCGAGGTCGCGCAGCCACTCGCCCGTCTGCAGGTCCCACAGCTTGGTGTAGCCTGCGGGGCCGGTCCCGTTGGGCGCCATTTGGAACCCCTCGCCGAACGACGGAGTCCCCAGGACCGGATCGATGCCGCCGCGCCAGATGCGGCCGACGGAAATGATTCGCGTGTCGCTCGCGGCGATGCTGACGATCTCGCCCTTGTGGTGGTGCGGCTTTGCGGCGGGCGGAGTCGGCGGATCCTGGTAGTTGTAGCCCTCCCACCATCCGGTAAGGATGTCCTCCTCGTCTCCGCGCTCGTTCTCGTGCAGGCTGATGTAGTTGTTGCGCTTCGGCGACCTGCGAGGGGCAAGGAAACGCGTCGGCAGAAGCATAATAAGCGAGCAGTGCGAGGACAGGACCCGACCTCATGTGCCACGCCTTGTAGGTCGGGCCCTGCTTCTTCATGCCCTGATCCATGTAGCCCTGCTCATCCTCGAAGCCCCATACCTGGATCCCGAGCGTACGTACCAGCCTTCCATCGCCGAGGCGCCAGACTTGGATCGTGTTCGGCCAAGCGCCCGAGACGAGGTGAGCGTCGTCCGGCGTGATGGTGATGCAGGTAGGCCAGACGCCTCGTGGCTTCAGCGTGCGCACGCGGTCATGCAGGCGTGGTCGGCCGCCGATCGGCGCAAGCTCCTCCTCGTCGGACGACGCAGCACCGTACGCCTCCCGCATGGGCCCTCAGCCGGCGCCCATAAGAATTCTTTCTCTGCACAACACAATGGCTCCGAAAAGCAGGAAAAAAAGAAAGGGGGTTCATGATCCTGCGTTCACTCCTGCGACAGCACTCAAGATGGTCTCCGCCAGCCTCGCTCTCAAGATCTCGCAAAGCGTCTCGCTTGCGTTCGGCATCGGGCTCGCCTTCTTCCCGCAAGCGCTGATGGAGACGTACAAGGGCAACACCTTCAACGGCGCATCCGCAGTGATGCTCAAGTTCGTTGCTGGCATCGCCGGCAGCAATATGCTCGCATTCTCGAGCGGATGCGGCGTGTTGGCCCGCGATGGAGTAGTCGTGGCGGCACAGTCGGTCGCATGCCTTTCCGTGGGCATCACTTGGATCGCCTTTGCTATCAACGACAGCTACCTCGCCACCACCGGCCAGTTTGGCGACTCAGTTCCCGTCGAGTCGGTGTACGCGAAAAGTGTGCTCTTCCTCATCCTCGGCGCTATCGCCTTGCTCGGCTGGAAGGAAGCTGGAAGCCACTTGCCCGCCTTCGACAGTCTCATGCCCACGGGAAAGCCGCAGTTGCCGCTCCTCGTCAGCAGCCTGAACCTCGTCTTCTTCGCCGTCGGCTGCACCTTCTTCACCGAGGCCTTTCTCGAGATGTGAGCGGCTCCCGCGCAGGGAGGTGGTCCATTTCGCCCGCCCACTCGCCCGTGGCCCCACAGGTATGCGCCCGGCGTGCTGGCCACCCTCCCCGGCGCTACCCGGATGAATGCGAAGGGCAAGCCATACACCGCCGACGCCGCGACCACTGTGATCCCGCCCATCCTTCTCTTCCTCGGCAACGCGGGCAAGGTCATGATCGCGAACGTCTGTGCCACGTTTGCCGCTTGCTCTGTCGGCGACGTGGACGTCTCTTACCGCTACCTGCGTGTGCACTGCTTCAGCTGGGTGTTCTACTTCGGCACTCTCGCGCGGGACGGCGTCCTCCTCGACACGTACCGGGGAGCGCCAACGATGCAACTACGGCTTTGCGACGGCGAGGGCCGCGATAGGGCCAGCCCGATCTCGGCTCGGCTCGCGCGGTCTTCCCACTTTCGTCGCGTGGCTGGCTCTGCGCGTACTGTTGTATGATAGTAATGCAGTGCGGAAACGGGGCTCCGGCGCTCAGAGTCGCTCAGAGCACCAACTTCCCGATTAAGTACGGTTAAGTAGAGGGCAGATTTTGAGAGATCTCGAGCAATACATACAGATAGACCCTCCAACCATCAGAAAACTCCGACCTGATCGGTCGTACTGACCGCCGACAGATCACTCCAGACAGCAGACAGGCCGACGTCTGCACGCGGCCGGCCGGGCGAGAGGCTTGACACGATCCGACCCTGCGACCCTGACGCTGCTGCTCTAGCTATCAGCCATGCACTGCTGACTGCTGCCACAATGTGCGACCTGTGCTGGCCCACTTGGCGGCCTTCCCGGTCAGTGGTGAGGCGCAGTTCAGAGCTGTCGATGGCGCGATGCCGCACTGGTCCCACATTGGTGACACGAGACCACCAAGTTTGCCGGTCCAAGAGAGAGGCACCGGCGCTGTCCTGAGAAGGTGCGTGGTCCCTCTTGACTGCCCATGCGCGCGAGGCTGTGTAGGCATAGCCTCGAGAGTGCCAGCAGCCAATCCGAGGTGACGCGCATTGCGCCAGAAGCGTGCACGCAGCTGGAAGGACACCTTCCTACTGGCCGTACGATCAGGTCGTCACTGAATGCTTGATACTAAGGCCGCGAGCTATGCAGGTGATCAATTGTGCATCATGGCACGGTCAGCTGCGCCGACAGGCTGTCGCAAGGCGTGATAGCATGGCCGCAAGTACGCCGAATTCCCATGAAAACAAGTAAAAAGTCGCGAAAAAAGAAAAAAGAAACTCAAAAAAATCGGCGCCTGCAGCGGGCCATGGGGCCCCATCCCCCCCCCGCATGGACACCCTCTGGGGCCCCCGCGCCGGCCCAGAGGACGTGCCGCTTGTGCTGGAACTCTGGAGTCGACAGGAGAGCAGGCGAGAGACGCAGAGACTGCGCGACGGGAGATGAGGGCACATGAGGTTTGAGAGGTTGGCCGTTCTATTCTCCAAAAAGAAAGCGTGGAAATGAGGGGTGTACTTGAAGGTGGTAAAAAGAGTTTTGCACCGCAGCTTAACCGGGGGGCGTGCTGAGCAGCGTGAAAACAGCAGGTCAGAGCTTATTGAGCTTTGAGGCAGGGGGGGCGCGAATTCTTTTGTGTTGGTTTGTGAGAGGTATGACACACATCACACTCCCTTTCTGAAATCGTTGGGTCGCTTCACCGAGTTCACGAAGGGCCGACCCCTCGTGGGCCGACCCCCCTCCGATTTTATATGAGAAGATTGTGTGTGTGCGGGAGTTGGTTTGTCGGGAGGGAGGGGCAGGCTGCACACCCACACGTGCACCGGGCCAGTGCTTGCACTTTGAATGCCGTGCGCGTGGGGCTCCTGCCCGTGTCCGGGTGTGGAGATGCGAGGGTCGCCCCCCCTTGCCCCACCAGGTGCCACCCACGTTTGTGTGTGTGGAGAAATTTACCTTACCTTAGTCCTTACCTTACCTTATGAGAAGAGAAGAAAGGGTCGGAGTGGGTATGAACACATTTAACCAAGAGCCGATCGGCTGCAGCAGGGGCATATGAGGTTACCTCTCGACGTACAAGGCGAGCTACATCAGCATCTGCGCCGCCTGCTGCAGCCGCACCTCCAGCTCCTCCCTCTCCCTCCGCGCGGCGGACACCGCGGCGGCAAGCTCGGTGGCCATGTCGCACGCCACCGGCCCGCCCGGCGAGGGTGCGGGTGCGGGTGCGGCGAGCGGAGAGCCGCGGCTCGGCCGGTCGGCCGAGGAGCGGAGCAGCGCCAGCTGCGAAAGCAGGGGCGAGCTCGCCGGCCGAGGCGACGAGCTCGCCGGCGGCGGCCGCGCGACAAAGTGCCTGTCGACGGCGAGCTCGGCCTCGACGGCGGCCTGCTGCGCCCTTGCGGCGCGGATGCGCGACGAGCAGCGGCGCGGTCGTCGCGGCGGCGGCGGCGGCGGCCTCCTCCTCGAGCCGCTCGTCCACGCGCCTCTCCTCCTCGGTCCACGCGACGTCCTCAAAGCCGTGCACCCCGAGCCCGGCGCCGAGGCTCGGGGGCGCCGCCCAGCCTGCGCGCGGGGGGGGTGAAAGGTTTGGGCCGGCCGGCCCGGCCCTCCGGGTGGGGTTAAAGGGTTGGGGCCGGGC